ATACACACTTTCCCTGAATGGCACAGGGGAATCAGTCTCTAAATTAAACCGCACTGTCTTGGGTCTTCATAGCCATGTAGCTGGGGTGGATCCAGATTTTGTGGGGCCTGAAGATGATACAGTTGGAAGACCCCTTTAAGAATGTAGTGTTTTGTAAGTACAAAATTAGGTATACAAGTGAATATTTAAAACAAGAAAATAAATCACAACCAATTCCAAATTTTAAAGAGCTGAAGAATACCATACACATTATAAATCCAAAAATATAATTTTTTATTAATTAAATGTCCACATAATTATAATACCTGTTTCCCTATTTGTTGGCTAGACTCTCTGATCACATTTGTTTTAAAGATTTTATTTCCTATTTATTTTTAGAGACAGGGGAAGGGGGAGAAAAAGAGAGGGAGAGAAACATCTATGTGGAAGAGAAACATTGATCGGTTGCTTCTTGCATGCACCCCAACAGGGGCCCAGACCCACAACCCAGGCATGTACCCTGACCAGGAATCGAACCCATGACTTTTGCTTTGCAGGACGATGCCCAGTTTACTAAGGCACACCAGCCAGGGCAATCACATTTTTATATGTCAGTTCTGTTGTCATATTTCCTATATGTATAAAAGACAGTCGGGCCACAGAGGTCAGCAGACTTCTGTAAAGGACCCAATAGTAAATGTGTCGGAACCTCTGACACAACTTGTCAACTTCGCCATTGCAGCACGAAAGCGGCCCCAGATCACACATAAACAGTGAGCATGGTTGTGTTCCAATAAAACTTTATTTATAAAAACAGATAACCGACAAGGTGGTGGAACAGGAGCCCCTAGACTTTGTTCTGCCACAGACATAAGGGCTTAACAACAGTTTTTAGAGAACTCCAGAAACCAGTTAGGAAGCCGCAGCACCCTAGGCATATCATCCTGATATGCCAAGGTTGTGGGTTCGATTCCCGGTCAGGGCATATGCCAGAATCAACCAAGGAATGCATCAATAAGTGGACCAACAAATCAATGTTTCTGTCTGTCTGTCTGTCTGTCTGTCTGTCTGTCTGTCTCTAAATCAGTGAGAACAGTTGCACTGAAACCAGTAAGAAAAGCCATTTCCACGAAACCACATTGACCCCACGCCCAAGCGGGCACAGCTCACTATCAAAACAAAAGCACCCAACAGGCAGCTTCTCCCTTGGGAGGGAAAGAGAAGACTGAAACAAGGGCCCACGCTTTTGGCTTTTGGGGAACGGAGACTGGTTGGGTCTTGCTTGACTCACAACGCTGACAGGACCAGCACACCTCAGACGCCCAAAAGCTCAGCAGTTTATTTTAGCTCCCGAGAGCCTGCAATACTACAGCCAGACACCAGAGGGAGCAAGACTACAAGCTCTTGAAAAGGAAACCGGCAAACCTATTGAATGGGTGAATCACACACACAAACCCAGAAAGGGCGCGTCCTTACAAAGGTTTGGAAGGCCCTCAGAATCCTTAGTCAGGGTTATTGGTGAGGGTCTTCCCCTGTACCACGCAGCCCCTAAAGACTGGGAGGCCTGGCTGGTCTTCCAAATGCACAAAACACAATAGACTAAAGCAAGGCATGCGAAGAAACCAGGAAGCATGACCCAATCAAAGGAACAAAATAAATCTCTAGAAACTGATCCTAAAAGAAAAAAAAAAAACCAACAAACCCAGAGATCTATGAATTACCTGACAAACATTCAAAATAATCCTCTTAAACCCGATGCAGAAGTCAGGCAAACAGCTAAACAAAATTGGGAGAACCGTACATGAACGAAATGAGAATATCAACACAGAAACCATGAAGAGGAACCAACTGGAAATTTTGGAGCTGAAGAATAAAATAACCGGGTTGAACATTTTTCTCTAGAGGGAATCGACAGCAGACTTGGTCAAGCAGAAGAAAGAATTAGCGAGCTTAAAAAAACAGGCCATTTGAAACGACAGAGGCAGTTTACAGCCATACCACCGTGAACGCCCCCAATCTCGTCCGAAATTACAGAGTCAAAGGAAGGAAAAGAAAGAAGAATGAAGGGAAGCGAGCAAAGCCTAAAGGACCTATAGGACACCATGGAGTGGACCAGCATCCACAGTGGGGGAGCCCGGGAGAAGAAGAGGGAAAGCAAGTGGCAGAGAGCTTATTAGACAAAGTAATGGCCAGCCCTGGCCGGGTGCTCAGTTGGTTGGAGTGCCGGCCCCTATATCAAAAGGTTGTGGGTTCGATCCCCGGTTGGTGAGTGTGTGAGAGGCAATGGATCAATGTTTCCCTTTCATATCGATGAAAGTTTCTCTTTCCTCCTTTCTCTAAAAAATCAGTGAATATATCCTCAAGTGAGGATTTTTTAAAAATAAAAAATAATAATAATAATGGCCCAAACTTTCCAGATCTGAGGTAAAAAATGAACATTTCAATTCAAGAATCTCAAAAGACTCTACCTAGGATAAATCAAAGAGGTCTACACCAAGGCACATCATAATCAAACAGTGGAAAGTAAGAGACAAAGAGAGAATCTGAAAAGTAGCAAGAAGAAGGGGGTTTATCCCATACAAGGGAACACCCCCAAAATGGCCATCAGATTTCCCAGCAGAAGCAGAACAAGTAGGAGGCAGTGGGATGACCTGTCCAAAGTGCCTCAGGGATGGGGACCTGGGCAAGGCCATCAGAGAATGGGTAGCCTCCTCCAGAGACCTCAGCAGCAGGAACCAGGGGGAATCGCCACCCAGGGAGATCCTTCCCCACTGCTGCCCCCCTGAAGATGCCGGGCAGGCTGACACCTGGGTCTTCAGTTCCCTGAGGGCTGGCACTCTTGGGTTGGCCCAAGGAGAGGGTTCTAGAAGAAAAGATGGGCGAGGGGTGGAAGCGGCTAGAAGGCAGAGAAGAGCTTGGGGAGTGAGTGCAACTCTCTGACGGGTCTTCCTTATGTGTCTCTGTGAGACGTGACACCAGCTTCCCTGCCCTCCGTGAAGTCGGGGAGACAGGCGCCTGCCCCCCGTTTTGCAGAATGAGCCTGTGCTTGGACGTTTGGGAAGATGTGGTAAAGTACCCAGAATGATTCGAGCCCGGAGGTCACCCATGGGTGGCTCCTAACATGGCGACCGTGTTATAAAATGCTCATGAGAAGCGTGTGGCCTCTTGACGTCACTGGGTCCCATTAGAAGCAGGAGCACGTGTCAGGGCGAATGAGAAATAAGTTCAGTGGGGGATACGCCTGAGCCCTCAGAGCAAGGCCACCTGCCGCTGGTCCCATGACACAGGGGCAGGTGGGTGGCCAGATGGGCCGTGGGGACAACTAAGCTCCCCTGCCCTCTCGGGTTGCTCTCCGGGGACAGGTGATCACCTCTAGCTTCCATGTGAGGGCTCAATTCTGACCTCGCCCCACACGCTTGCCTTTAATCCTGACTTAGGGCACTCCAAAACTCAGGACGCTTAAGCCTGGGAGTGGGCCAGAGTAATAACATTTGGGCTTAGTGTGAAGTTAATTCGTGCCACTCTTTGGGGCCTGGAGACACGTGGTAAATGCCGATTTCTAATGGCATATTTGGTGACCTGGAGATGTCACGGTCCCTTTTTTGCAAGAGGCTCCCAGGCCATTTGCTGTTAGAAGCAGCCTGCTCCCAGCCTGAGGAAGAACTTTCCTGCAGAACTCCCCCCTGGACCTTGACCTTTCTCTGGGTGCTGCCACTTTTGGCTTTTCTTTCATCATTGGTCCCAAACCAGCAATGACTTTCTGCATCCTGATGACCAATGTGTCCACTTGTAAGGGGCAGACGGAAAGAGAGAGAAAGAAGGAGAGAGACAGAGATGCAGAAAGAGAAAACAACAGACAGAGAGAAGGACACAGAGAGGAAGAGGTGAGGCAGGCGCATCAGGGGCCAAATCAGCATCTTTAGTGAAAATCAGGGGTGAGGGCCTCCTATGGATGCCAGACATGACGAACCCACAGCCGAGCAACACACCCTCCCGAGGGCAGACATGGCTGATCGATCACCGAACTCTTTATATCCGATAGACCTTTACCTTGACCTTGGCCTTGACTCAGCAGAGCAGGGAGAGCTGAAGCCTAACTTCCTTCAGCAGGAGGCTAGCGACACCAAGCTGAACTGCCCCTGCTGACCCCAGAGAAGTCTACTCTTTGGAGACATTGAAAGCCCTGGGAAAATATGAAAGCAGAAATAGTTGCAAGTCAGCCTAAGAAGCCGTTAGTTGAATCTCCAGAGCATGATCTTCACCACCAGGTGACTTCCCTCACCTGTCCTGGAGGAGTGCAAAGTGTGTCGTGCAGAGAGGTCAAATTATGAGGCCTCTGGGTGTTGGGACACCAGGCACAACTAAGGAAAAGGGTCCCTTCTGAAAACAGGGCACAGACAGAGGTGAAATGCCCAGAATGGGGTCCTCTCACACAGCTCTGGGAACCTTGGCAGCCATGCTTTATTTATAAAATAAAAATTTTATTTTTATTAAAAAAATATTATATATATATGGCCCTGACTGGTGTGGCTCAGTGGGTTGGGTGCCACCCTGCAAACCAAACGGTGGCTGGTTCAATTCCCGGTCAGGGCTCATGCCTGGGTTGGGAGCATGGGAGAGGCAACTGATCGATGTTTCTTCTCTCATACTGATGTTTCTCACCATCTCTTTCCCCCTCTCTTCCCCTCTCTCTAAAAAACAATGTGTAAAATATATATATATGCCCACTCTCAGAGAGCCTACTCTTCAAAAGCATGTTTCAGGAGACTCCCTAGCAGCGGGCACCAGGGGGCTCAGAGGCCCACCATGAGGGCTGTCTGCCCCAGAGAGGTGCCTCTGTCAAGACCCAAATCCTCCCACTCGACCACCCTGGGCAGCCACCACTTTCTCAAAGTAGATTTACCTTCAATCTCCATTTGCTAAATCTGCCCCCTATAAACCTCCGGGGGCTGGAGGGATTAAGGCTGATTACAGATGTTATAGAAGGACCGGGAGCCGGGTGAGCAGTGGGAGCTGGGCCCCGGAGGTCAGCCCAGCTCCTCCTGGGCCCTGTCCCAGGCTCCCTGCCCCAGGCTCACCCGGCCCAGGGGGCTGCCCCTGGGGGGGGGGCTCTGTTTCTCCCCACCCAGGGGCGCAGGAGGCCGGGTCATGGGTCCCCAGCGGAAAATGAGCAGCTCCTTCAAGCGGGGCTCGCTCAAGAGCTCCACGTCCGGGTCGCAGAAGGTGAGTGAGCTTTGCTGGGCGGCCTGTGGGCGCAGGGACAGAAGAACAGAGGGACTCTGGTCTCCAGTGCTAGCGAGCGGGAGTGCCCACCGTGGACTCCCGACCTCTGCAGACTGTGGGGGTGGGGGTGGGGTGTTTTTCTTTCAGAGCGGTGGCTTCCCGGCCCCTTCTTGGGAGATGGCCCCCCTTTCCTGCCGTTGTGAGCAGCCCTGGTCACCGCCTGCCTGCGGCCACCTTCACAGACAAAGCTCATGGCCCACACCGGCCGCGTTCGGGGGCCTGAGCTGGTCAGATCCTCTGACCACGCGGCACACCCACCCCCAGAAGTTCTGGGCTTTGGCGCTTGATGATTCGGCCCCCTTAGCTGTCTGCCACCCGGCCCTTGGCTCACTCTTCCTTCTCTCTCAGGTGTTTGGGGGAGCACCACGTGGGTTTTCTTTGCAAGACCCTCGGTGAGGATCTGAACCACCTCGGAGCACCTGTGGAAGGTCAGGTGGCTGCTGCTAAGACTCAGAGCCAATTGTGGGGAAGGCGCCCTGACGGCCCCGCCCCCTCCCCCACAAACCCCCGACAGGGTCTTGCAAAAACGTGAGCTGATTTGAAGCCTACGCTTGCTGTTCCCGATGCTGCGGTTTATGACTCTCTGAGCACAGGGAGTCTGGACAGGCCTCACCCTTCTGCCATGACCGCTGCTCGGTTGGGGGGTGAGGTGTGAGGCTGAGTCACAGGGGGCCTCTGGACACCCCCTCGCTGAGTGAGCCTCCTGGGCTCTGTGGGGCGTCTCTGCTCCTCCCACTGCGTGTAGGAGGTGGCGCAGGATCGGGAGCAGGAACCGGCCTTGTGAGGACAGAGGGGATGCATCTGTCCCCCAGGCACGCACCGACCCCCCACGTTATGCCGGGCAGTGCTGTGGCCGCCGCGGACCCAGCCGGGTAGCAGCGCAGGGCCGGCCATTCATCCGGGCTGCAGACAGAGGGCTGACGTGCGGCCACGTGCCCCGCACTCTGCGTGTGTGTATAGAATGCGTGTGCCTACCTAGGGTTTTCTCGCTGTTTGCTTCCAAAGATGAGATCCCAATCTTTCTCTGTGTTTGGGGCCTAGACAGTTTACGGTTCTCAGAACCACCCCAAGCCCTTCACGTGAGGAAACTGAGATTCTGAAAGGACGGAACTGCTGAACTCAGGGGGGCCTGCCCTGCCCATGAGGGGTTGCTCAACACAGAGCCACAGGGTCCCCTGCCTTCGCTCTTCCCAGACAGCCACGCGGCTCCCTGCCTCCCTCACTCGGGCCACGCCCATCTGAAACAAGCCCCTCCCACTGGCCCTTTCTTCTTTACTTCCTCATTGCAGAGATCACCACTTTATACGATGAATCTGCCTGTTTATTCATCCTCAGTGCCCCTAGACCGACAGCCCCAGGGACCAGGGTTTGGTCCGCTTCTGTCTGCTAGCACGGAAGAATGCATGAGTGATGCCGCGGTCCCAGGGGCGAGCTGGGATGGAGACGAGGCCTGGGACAGGCTGGGCCTGCACGGGGCACTCGCTGGTGTCATCTTTGTTCATTTTCCATATCGCAGCCTGATTCCCACGGTCTCCTACACCCTGGTGGTTGGAGACTATCTGAGTAGGATCGATAACAAAACCAGCGCGATGCACCTGCACTCGGGTTCGCTGGCCCCTGGCAGACGCTGGGAAGTCTGCAGCCGGGAGGGGCGCTGTAACCGCCACCGGCCAGGCCCTCTGAAGTAAACGTGCTTTGCAATTATCGGGGATCATGGCTACTAGCAAAGGGGCATGGCTGGAGGTTTGGGGGGGCGGGGAGGTGGGTGTTCATTTTGCTGAGTAACCACGGACCACTCAGGCAGGATTAGGGCGCTCTGAGCAGCAAGTAAGAGAAATGGGCGGACTGGGCAGGTGCCAGATGGCACGGAAGAGCAGATCAGCAAGGCTGAGCAGAGAAGTCGCCTGCCTGCTAGGGCTGCTCAGCCGAGCCGCCCGCACCCCGGCTGCACCACGCCGCGCAGTCCCGGGCAGGGGGTGAGGGCGCTGTCCGGGGTAATCCACGCGATGGCCCGCGATGTGGGGAGGCAGCTGGCGGGGCTAATGCTCCTTAATATCTGCTTTCATGTGATTAATGCCTGTGGATAAACCCTGGAACCCGGGAGAGCAGGCTGGAGCGCTAAGCCTGCCAAGGGTAAGCCTGCCATCGCTTTGGGTTATGCTGGGATCGGAGAGGCATTTTAGCAATTTACATTTTGGGGACGGGCCATCATTTTAGAGTGTAGGGTGAGTATTAACGAGATGGACTAAACTCCTGGGGAGTCCAGGCAGGAGGACAGGACAGAGATGGGCCGAGCCTGGGGTTGGGGTGTGAAAGTCACTGGGGCCCCCGAGTGTCCTCTCCCTGACACACATACACACACACACACACACACACTCACCTCCCCTGGGCCCACCCTCTCTCCCTCCCCTTCCCCCTCCAGGCAACACCAGACACCCTGAGTTTTCTGCCACTTTTCTCTGTGGGCTCAGTTGCTACTCTCCTTCACACACGTCTTTTATTCCTTTTTGTCCTTATGCTCCTAACAAAAGACACTGCTGACCTGTTAGGTTGAACCATTCAAAAACTGCCATTTGTGGAGGTCCAAAACAGTCGAATAACCTTGCTGTGGTTTTTTAAGAAGTTGACAAACCTCTGGAGGGCAGGTGGGTTCTGGAGCGGCCAGGCGGGGGCAGCAGAGAGCTGAGCCGGCTGGACTCCGGGCGCGCTAGGTGGGCTGCCGGCAGAGCAAGCCCAGAGCGAGGCCTATGGGGTCCTTTTGCGGGATAACACAAAGCGGAGAGAGCCACAGTCCCCAGAACCTGTTACTTGGACACAGCTGAAGAGTAAAAGCACAGGATATGACAATCGTACTAATAGTTCTTGCGATAGGCTCTCTTTCCCCTTGTAGGCCGGCTTATCCCCTGGGCAGTGCCTCTGGACCAGATTCCCTCCCCCCACCCCACCCCCGCCAGCGCTCCACCTCAGTCCACAGTGCAGAGGTGACCTCCTGGCCCAAAGCAGCACACCCCCAACTGGAAACTGAACCCGCAAGCCAGGCACGTGCCCTGACCGGGAATCAAACCCACGATCTTTCGATTGTACCGACCATATCGCTCCAACCCACTGAGCCACACACGCCAGGGCTCAAGAACACAGACAGCTTAAAGGAAGAAAAGGTCAAGTTGACTTTTATGTAATTGGACCCACATTTTGGGAGACTGGCCATCCATCCAGAATTAAGATTGAAGAAGCATTACCACAGGGTTTGGAATTTGGAAGTCCCCTGCTCGGTCCCACCAGAGGGCAGAATGTCACGTTCAGACTTTTGTGGATTCCAGCGCAGTGACTCACTGAGGCTTCTTATGAGCAAATTAACGAGATGTCAGGAATTTGGTGAGAAGAAAAACCAGCTCTGATAATGCTTTCTCCTTGGAACTTCCAGAAGCTTCAGCAGAGCAGGCTACTGCCCTCCTTTGGACAGACTTGCCACATCAGTTTTTTTTTTTCTTCTTTTTTCTTTTTTTAAAGAGATTTTGAGAGAGAAAGAGAAACATTGATTTGTTGTTTTACTTATTGATGTATTCATTGGTTGATTCTTGCATGTGCCCTGACCCGGGATCGAACCCATAACCTTGCAACCTTGGTGCATCGGGACGATGCCCTAGCCAACTGAACTACTGGGCCAAGGCAACCAGTTCTTGACATTCATACTGCGGCAGGACTCCTACAAAGTTTTCACACAACTGATCGTTTCCATCGCAAAGTCACTGGTTCTATTTTCATTGCAGAGATTATTCTGGAAACTGAAAAACATTCCATGTTTGGCAGGGTTTTTTTCTCCCATGTGCTTGTTATCCTAGCCCGAGTCATCTGCCAACATTGCAACATAAGGCCCTGCGGAGCCCGAACCCTCCACGATGACCAGCGATGAGCCACGTTACTAGCTCCCACTCCGGCCAGCCTGCGGCCTTGTGCAGTGGAACAGGGCAGTGTGGAAATGCTGATGTAAGAACGTCTAAACCTACAGAGAATTTTCACGAGGGTTTACTGGTGCCCGGCTGGTGCCATGCCAGGAAGCGAGATTTCAAATGCTCCAGAGAATGGCTGTGTTTTGCTTTCTTGTATGCTTTTGAAATTAAGGAGAGAATTCAGGAAGAGATACAAAGGAGGAAGAAAGGGTGGGGTGGGGGGAATCTCTACGCCTGCAGTTTACAAGATCACCAAGGTCACGAGCTCCCTTGAGGGAGCTTTAACAAAGGTGCCTTAGCGTATTTGCACTGAGTCAGCAGATAAGGCTTGCTTAAGGCCTAGAGAAACTTTTCACTGTAGAAGTTCTACGCCTGGGGCATGACCACCCACAAGTTACCTGCCCAGTTAAGAATTTTTGATCAGATCACCCTGGGGGGGTTACTTTCCCTCACCGGGCTGGTGGGGTTTATCACAGAGCCCCTTTTCCTTCGCCAAAGGCTGCTGCCAATATGAAATCATGGGCGGGGCTGGGCACCCATGGGAGAGCCACCAAGGGAATGATGGGAATGATGTTTGGCCACCTTGGCCCCTGACAGTCACCAGGCACTCCCTCTAGCTTTCAGGCGGAGGAGAGAGTTTCCCACGCCTGCATTCCAAATGGCTGAGCATGCTACTGGCGCCCCGTGAAAATACCTACTTTGTTTTTCTGTCACTAAGGGAGGGAATTACAGAGAAATAGAGGCTGAGTCTGAGGTGAGTGAAGGCACCGATAGACTCGTAGGTGTCTGCCTCATCTACTTTTCCATTTTTTCATTTTTATGATTATCTTTGACCGCTAGACCAAAGATTTTAAATTCCTCTCTGGCCTTCTTCATTTGTGAAGGCATTGTTTAATGAAATAAGAGTTTAATTTACATATATATATATATTTAAATCCTTACCCAAGGACATGTTTATTGATTTTATAGAGAGAGAAGGGGTAAGGGAGG